ACGGGGACACCAGGGCAAACCGGGGGACCAGGCCTTTCCTCAGCCTCTGCTGCCCTGTCCTCAGGAGCAGCTGCCTGCTGAGTTAAGCCTTGTAGCAGATGTGGAGAAGACATGGAGCAGCAGGTACTTCAGCCCCCAAGCCCACACCTCTGCCCCGTGCTCAACAGTCCTGGGGACCTCCCCTCACCTGACAAAGGTCTCTCTTGGGCTGTCTTCTGCAGGCGGGAGGAGCCTGCAGGGGAGGAGAGGCGGCGCCCAGACACTTTGCAATTGTGGCAGGAGCGGGAGCGGAGGCAGCAGCAGCAGCAGCAGCAGCAGCAGCAGCAGCAGAGTGGGGGGTGGGGATCCCCCCGGAGGGACAGGGGAGGGAGGGCCTGGGGCTGCTGGACAGCGGGCAGATGCAACCCCCTCAGACTTGTGTTCTGAATGGGTGGCCTGACTGTAGAGCTCACGCCGCCTCTGCTTCTTCCAGTGTCCTTAAGCGGGGGATCAGAGCCGCGGGCGCCTCGGCCTCGTCCACACAGGCCGCCTCCAAGTAGGTGTCCTCCTGTGACCCGTCTCCCTACGCCTTCTTCGTGGCCTTCCCTGAGTCCCTTCTTTTTCTTCAGTGGCCCACCGAAGTCCAGTGCTACCCAACTCGGAGTTTCAGGGGGGCACGGAGCTCCCACACCGTCCCCCATCTCCCAGGACTCCACTCCTGTATCTGGACCAGGTAGGACAGTGTGTTAGATGGTGGCTCGGGGTTGCTTGGGACACAGGCCTGGAGGAAGAAGAGTGGGCCACTGAGGGGGTCTCTTGCCTGTCCCTGGCTTTCCCCAGTGACAGCTCCTGTTCCCAGGCCACTGGGCTCCATTCAGAGACCAAACAGCTTCCTCTTCCGGTCATCCTCTCAGAGTGGCTCTGGTGAGTATCTGCTGTTCTGGCACTAACCTCAGGACTTCTGTCTCCTGGGGCTTGAGTCTCTCGGGGTGTTGTCCCTTTTCGTGGAAAATCCCACAGGCAGGAGGTGGTTTGGGTATGAGACTGTGGGAAGCTGCCTCCAAAGCTTACCCGTGAAGCAGAGCTATCCCATCCTCCTTGCTCTCCTAGGCCCTTCCTCTCCAGAGTCCATTGTGAGATCTCGGCCGTTTCCTCAGACTCTCGACGAGAAGGAACTAATGTCCCAACTTCGCCAGGTGAGCAGAGCGCGATGTGTGTAGGCAGAGGCCTGACCCAGCATGGACCTCCTTCCCCTTTCTTTCCTCAGGACCCACACAGCCCCCAGCTTCTCCTTCCTGACCCAGAACCGTTATCGAGGAGGGGAAGGGATGGAGTGAGTTCCTGCTGACCTCACCTGCTCCTCCTGTCTCCACTTCCAGGTCCTCGAGTCCCGGCTGCAGCAGCCCCTGCCTGAGGACCTGGCAGAGGCCCTCGCCAATGGGGTCATCCTCTGTCAGCTAGCCAACCAGCTGCGGCCCCGCTCTGTACCCTTCATTCATGTGCCCTCACCTGCTGTGGTCAGTGGGAGCCTGGAGGAAGAGGAGGAGGAGGGCATGGGACAGGTGTGTGGCTTGGCCTTTCCAGACTCTTCCATTCCCCCACCTTCAGCCAAAGCTCAGTGCCCTCAAGTCTCGGAAGAACGTGGAGAGTTTCTTAGAAGCCTGTCGAAAAATGGGGGTGCCTGAGGTATGGGGGTGCTCTTTGCTGTGGGGCTCAGCTGAATACGGTGCCTGAGGGGTGGAGTTCCATCCACAGGGGATCTAATTCTACCGAAGCATGTGTCCCTGGCCCACCCTCACAGCTCCTGCCCTGCCTCCCTCCTGGCTCCCTGTCCTGCATGTCTGCATGTCGGTATGGCTCTGGCTGTGCTCCTGGTGTGCGAGGCAAGGGTGGGAAGGTCTGTGGCTTGATGCTGCTGACACCTGTTATTTGTCCTTGTCCATCTGCCCTGCCCTCCCTTCCCAGGCTGACCTGTGCTCGCCCTCGGATCTCCTCCGGGGCACCACCCAGGGGCTGCGGACCATACTGGAGGCTGTGATCCTGGTGGGGGGCAAGGCCCCTCTCCCAGTCCAGCCCTCCTCCGGTCTGGGTGGCTTCCTCCTCTTCTACGTGGTCTCCATGCTGCTGCTCTATGTCGTCTACACTCGGCTCCTGGGCTCCTAGGACCCACGCTGTCCCTACCTACCCCACCTTCTATTTATAGCCCTCCTAGTCAGCCGTGCCCCCCGGCAGTGCCTTCAGCCCTACCAAAGACACTAGTGTACCCTCACAAACACTGACCTCAGAAGCCCCCTCAGTGCCCACAGTAGCCCTTCCCCACTAGTGCTGACGGTGCCTTCATGTCCCCACCAGCCCTGTCCCCCAGAGGGATGACAGCCCTCGGCCCTTTCCCTCCTCCCTCCCTCCCCCTGCTGGCTGCTAGGGGGAGCTAAATTATCTCTGTTTTGTAGAGAGAACTCTATATTTGTAGGGATGCGGCCCGTTGTGGGCCCGGTTCTGTGTATAAACTGTATAGACCGTCACTTCTGTGTGTCTTGTGTGAGCTGCTGCTGCAGCCAGGCCCCGGCCTGCCTGGGCTCCGTGTCCGTCAGCCCGCCTGGCCAAGCGTCTCCGTTTGGCGATGTCAGGCCTCTCCTGCCCTGAGCCTTCTGTGTCCCCTTCTGTCATGCGCTGACAGCTTCCATGTGCCGTCTGCCCCAGGCATGGGCAGTGTCAACCAGGAGCGCGCCCCACCCCGCCAACCTTGCTTGGGGAATGCCAGGGGAAACTTAACCTGGGCCCCTCCCCCCAGGAGTCCCTGTGCCAGCCCCACCACATCCTGGAAGAGGAGGGGGCCCCTGGAAGGGGCCTCCCTCACATCGCTGCTGTCCTTCACGCACTTCTGGAACAGCCTTAGGGTAGAGGTTGGGGCGCTTGGCCCCAGCCACCACCGGACCTGTCCTGGGAACAGATGACACCTGGGCCTTGCCACTTAACAAGGACTTGGTGACCACGGCCCTGCGCGTAGCAGGGGCTTGGGTATCCCCTGCCCTTAGGCTGCCGGGGTGCAGCCCCGGGTCTGGGGGAAGAGTGTTGTGTCGAACACAATAAAGAAAAGCTCAAAGGCGTGCAGCTTGGCCCTCAGGTGTGTGCCTGTCTGTGAGTGCGCGAGCTTCCTGGGGCCCTGGGGCCTCTGCTGCGGTGGGTCCCGGGCAGTCAGCCTGCCGCGTCCTGTGCTGGGCAGAGGGGCTGCCAGGGCACAAGTGCCCCACGGCTCCGCTGCCAGGGGGCGCCCTCGAGAAGCTGGCGGGAGCGCACCACGTGGCTGTGGGCGCTCTGGCGCAGGCGTCGTGCCGAGGCCCTGGGGTCGGCTAAGCCTTGGGCGCCTATGTGGTGGGGCCGCGGGCGGGCGGCGGCCCAGCGGAGGTGTGCCTGCGCTGCACCACACAATGTTGCCCTGGCTTGGGCCGTGGGGCACAGGCCCGGGGGAGGCGCCGGGGGAGCCAGGCCTCTCCACAGGCAGTGACCACGGCCGAGACTGGAGCCCTGGAGAGGAAAGGCCGGAGGAGCCAGGGCGGCCCACGCAGGACAGGTGAGGGCGCGGTGCGGCCGCTAGGGGGCGCTGGGGGCCCTTCCCCGAAGTGAGGAAGTCCGGAGCAGGAGGTCGCACCCGGACGGGTGCTGGCCCTGACCCGGGTCAGCACTGGGAAGGGACGCGTGTGCAAGAGCATGTCCTTCCCTTCACACAGCCCACAGCCCCAGGCGCTCAGCCCATCTGAGACCGGAGCCAAGCCGTCGCCGCCCTCCCATCACCTGGCCACGGGGCAGGCCGCCGAAGCCCCGGGTAGGCCCCAGGTCTTGCTGTTTTTACCCACAAGGCCCCGGGATTCAGAGCCTGTTCTAATCTTGTCTCTCTCCTTCGCAGTACCTCTTTCTCCCCAGGTGACCTCCCAGGTCACCACCTCAAGGATGACCCCGCTGCCACTCTGGGATCCCAGCCGTGAGGCTAATGCCAGACCTCAGCTGATGGTGAGTTGGGAGATGTGTGGCTCTGTCTCCAGGTAGCAAGAGGTGCCATGAGAGAGATGGAGCTCAGTCACTTCCTGCTCTCTACAGGGGGCCGGCTGTGGGTCAGGCGTGTCTTTGTCCGGCAGGACAATGTGTCATCCTTCCTGGCCTATGTATGACGCCTGGGGTAGCATCCCCACCTCAGGGCATCCAGAAGAGCGGGTGTCCAGGGATGCAGGTACTGTTGGTGGCCCCTCAGCTCAGTTGGGGCGTTTCTGCAGTGAGGGCTAGGATGGGAGGCCGAGGCCACCAAGCCAGCAGGCTCTCCTCCTCAGGGCTCCCGGTGACAAGCTATGATGATGTCTTCCTCTTGGACCCTCTGCTACCCTGTGGGCAGCGTGTTCCCCTGTACCTGTCTAAGCCCCCTCAGCAGGTAAGAAGAGTGAGCCCCTTCCATTCTTCCCCTCCCTCCTCCGCCAGGCCTGGGAGGACAACTTTCCCTTCCGTTTCCTCAGGCCATGGGCTCTCGGAAGCTGCTGCTCCCACCTCCCATCGTGTCCTCCTCTGTGCGTCCCTCGTCATCCCAGGCCTGCTCCTCCGCCTGGCTCAGCGAAGCAGAGATGATTGCCCTCACTGGTCTGCTGCAGATGAGCCAGAGCGAGCCCCGGTCTCGCTCCTCGGCCAGCCCGCTGACCTCTACCAGCTGCCCAGACCCCGTCTCTGCCCCCGAAGACCCAGGCCCCAGTGGTGGCCAGAGCTGTTCTGGAAGCGCTGACCCATGTCCCACACGGAGCCCAGATACCCACTGTTCATAGTCCCCTCCCTCCGTGAGTGCTGACTTCCCACAAGCTGTTCCGTCGACAATAAATCCGTTAGTTTGCAAAGCTGACTGTGTGTGCAGCCGGGGACAGTGGGCATGGGATGTGGAGGAGGTGGGCTCCTTCATCCCGCCATACTCACTTGCCCTTCCTTCAGTCTCCTCACTCACCGCTCGCCCACTGCTTGGGGTGGGGAAATCCACTGAGCCGAGACAGTCAGGGTGCAGAGCACCTTTAATGGGTAGGTTGGGTCCACAGGATGTGACTGGGCTGTGCTCTAGGAAGCAAGGGCTTGGTCAGCTCGGCCAGGCCCCGAGAAGGGTCAGGTGAGCCTGACGGGCACCAGAGGAGGACTCGGGAGGGCAGGTTGCTGGGGGGCTCTGACGAGATGCCTGATGCTCCCACTGTTTTTGAGCTGGGGTTCTCGGAGTTCCTCTCTGACTTGGAAAAGTTGAGTGAGGATAGCTCTTGGGCTCAGAGGACACAGTGACATCTAGTGTCAGCTGCCAACACGTGAGGGGACAGAACTGTCCAAATTGGGGTGGGGAATCTTCATCCATGGTTTGGCCACAGCTAGCTTGAGACCGATTCTGTAGGAATTCTTCAGGGAGATAAGATCAGGGGGTTTCGGCTGAGAGGGCCCAAACTTTGTAAGGTTTTGGGTTTTTTTGTTTGTTTGGTTGGTTTTTTGGGGTTGGGGCAGAGAGAAGGTCTAGAACTTTCTCTCAAGAGTCTAATTTCTGGGGAGAATCTCTTCCCGAGGGTTTCTTAGCTGGAAGGGGCAGCAGAGCAGCTTACAAGGGACGTGGTGGCCGCAGGGCGCCTTGCTCCCGCGTGCAGGAGCTGAGCTGAGCTAGTAACTTTTCTCCTCTTTTCCTCTCTTCCCTGACCATCCCCCACAGAGTTCTAGAACTTGATGCTGGTATAGCCGTGTGGACTCTCCCCAGGGGCTGCTCTGGGCCCCTCCAGGGGAGGGACTAGGTCCAGGTCCACGTAGTTGAGGCAGTTGTCCAGAGACCCTGGCTTAGCACTGTTCATTCCTACATAGTCTGGGATGTACATGTAGTCCCCAGACAGTTCTGAAAGTTGGGAAGAGTGGGCCTGAGCCTCTGTGGGTCCCCATCTGTTCCTAATGCTGCAGGGGAAACCCCGATGCCCAAGTTCAGGTTCCCTGGCCTTGAGCTCGTAGTACAAAGGTCCTGGTAAGAATCTATTCATGGGCATGTATTCTGTGCCCTCAGAATCCTGAAGCGACTTGCCAAGAGCCACCCTGGCAGGGGTGGGAGGACGGCCTGGGGGTGCCATCCACATGTAGTCACCAGCCTCCCCTCCCCCCATGTGCACGTAGTCACCCCTGACTCCCATGGCGATGTAGTCCCCATCCAGATCTAGCCCCTTGTAGGAGGGTGCGGGCCCCATCCTTTCCAAGGCCTTGAAGTAGTCCTGCTTTTCTCTCTCACCGGGGCTTCGTGATTGCGCTGCAGAAACAGGGGTTTCATACGGTGCCGGGGCTGCAGAAGCACTCTTCGGAGGCTCTCCGGACGGTGGCTCATCCTTCCCGCTGCTCCCCAGCCTCTTCATGGCAGCCAGGACCGTCTCATGAATGCTTTGGGCCACCACTGCATCAGGCGCCTGCATCCACAGCTCCCCGGGACCCGTGGGCGCTGAGCGCCCGAGTTCCAGGAAGAAGAAGGAGTCCGCATGGCCGCAGCGGCGCACGCTGAGCAAGGACAGGCGCAGGGCCGGTGGTGGCGATGTCCGGCTGTCTCTGGAGCCTTTGCTTCCTGGCTTCCGCAGGAGGCTCAGGGACCCAGAACCCAGGCACAGGCGATAGCTGCCGCTGCTCAGGCCTCGTGCTCGCCCCAGCCCCTTGGACCGCAGTGTCACAGGCCAGACGTCCTGGAACGGGGCGAAGATCCAAGACTCAGGGGCCTCTTGAGGACTGAGACCTGGAGAGAATAGGCAAGTCACTGGGAGGCAGGGGTTGGGGTCACTGGATAAGCTAAGCTGGCCCCCCCCCGCCCTCCCTGTCGCCCGGGGCTCACCCATAGCGGTGGCAGCAGCCGCAGCGGCGGAGGCGCGCACCTCCAGCATTGCGCTGTACCACGCTTGCTGCTCCGCTTCGCTGGCCGCCGCGACGCCCAGGCTGCTGTCGCTGGTATAGACGACGATCAGGTGGCGCTGGCGGGCATCGGCGCGCTTGCTGATGGTGCAGGCACCCTCCAGGCTCACGCTGCGCCGGGGTCGCGGCGGGCGGCAGCCGCCGGCCAGGAACTTCTTCTCGCTCTCGTAGCACTCCAGGCGCGGAGGGTCCGCGCGCAGGACGAAAAAGCGGCGGCGCTGGGACTTCTGCTTCCGCAGGTGGCCACAGAGCCGCACGTCGGGTGGGCAGGGCCAGGGAAACGGCGGGCCAAGGGACGCGTCGGTGGGCTCGGCCCCGGGGGAGACGGTGGGACCCAGTGTGGGACCCGTGCCTGCCGGCTTCATCTCCAGCCAAAGGCAGTCAAGCGCCCTCGGAAGGACTGATTTGGAGACTGATTTGGAGAGGGTCCCCTGAGCCACCACCGGCTTGGGACGAGTAGCAGAGACCTGGGAGATGGCAACTGTCTAGTTACCCTGCATCTCCCCACGCCCTCTGCCGACTTGAAGCTGGTGCACAAGGAGCCTGTGCACCAGCGTGAGTGTGTCCCAGTGGCCAGTGACACCAGGACTCCTAGGTCTAAGGAAAGCTGACCCAGCTGGGTCAACCTCCCTCTTGGAGTCTCCACCCCTTCAAGTTAACCCTCCCACGCCCGAGCGCAGGAATTTGAGTTTGGGACCCACAGGCTAGAGTAGGAGTCCTGCACCGCGGGGACCGAACTTTCACAGGGGCGGGGAGTGTGCAGGCGTCTCCACCAATCAGCTGACGGGATATGGGGGTGGAGAGTACCGCCAGGGGCAGCCTCGGGCAATCCCGAAAGCCAGATACCAGGGTGCAGACGCGGCTGTGCTTAGTAGTGATGGGACAAGTGATTAGAAGAGCGGCCTAGCGGGCCATCCTGCCAGGACCAGCTCCCCAGGCCGGAGCCACCCCGCTCCACCTCTATCCGTAGTGTCCCTCTCCTTCCCACCCGGAGATGATTTTTGTGCCTTTGCTCCCAGTTATTCAGAGAACATGGCTGCCGACCACCGCAGAGGTTCTAACTGCGGTTCCTCAACGAGTTTGGGGCGATGGATGTCCCAGGACAGGGAAATGAGTAGACTGGCCCCTGGTCACGAACCGTACCCACCAGATTCCTGTGCATTCTACTTGAACGCCACTGAAAGAGACGTCGAAGAGGTCCTTTCTCAGGGACACCTTCAAAGCTCCCCTCACCACCAAGTCAAAATGCTGACCTGAACTTGACAGTGGCTGTGGTCACAGAAGCCAGGATTCTGTGGTAGATGCCTCGTGACCCTTTGCATCCCGAGAGGTTAGGGTGGGATCAGAGATCAAACTGCATACGCACACACACACCATGAGTGCACATGCCTGTGGTATCAACAAGAGCCAGCCCCCTTGTTTTTTGAGACAGGCTTACCCGCTGGGAACTTGGCTAACAGATTAGGCTAGCTGGCCAGGAGGCCCCAGAGATCTGACTCCACTTACCGAGCACTGGGATTACAAGTGCATGCTACCACACCCAGCTTCTAAAATATGTATTATGTGTGTTGTGCAGGTTGCCTGCATGTGTAAGTCAGAGGACAACTTTGGGAAGTTGGTTCTTGCCTTCCGTCTTGTTGAAGCAGGGTCTCTTTCTGCCGCTGTGCCGTGTACTCGGGGCACGCTGGTCTGGGAGCTTCAAAGCTAGTTATTTGTAGCCTTGGCTGTTCCGGAACACACTCTGTAGACCAGGCTGGCCTCGGTCTCAGAGATCCACATGCCTCTGTCACAAAGTGCTGAGATTAAAGGCATGTGCCACCACTGCCCGGCTAGTAGTAGTTTTATATATATTTATACCTTGCTATAGGAGTACTGGGATTATGATGCATGCCACGAATCCCACTCTTACGTGGATTCTGAGGATCAAATGGGCCATCGGGCTTGCACAGCAAGGACTCTGCCAACCGACCTATCTCCCCAGCCCCTTGGACATTTTGTTTTTCTGTACTAGGGACACTGGTACATACAGATCGAGGGGTAGGGAGTGGTACGGTGCAGTTAGTCACAGCGTAATTGACAAGTAGTGGGGCCTAAGCAGACACAGTGATTCCCCAATGCTGTGACAAACAAAATCCCCGTGGGAAAGATGAAGGTATAGAGAAGAAAAGACCCATCTAACAAGTAAACAGAAGCAGAAGAACTTGGGTCTTTTTCTCAGGCTAGTCCAAGGGCAGCCCAAGCAGAGGCCCACAGCCCACTTGTAATCTGGAATACTGGAGAAATTACTTGCCACGATCATGAAGCTGGGCAACTTTGAATACCTTTCCAAATGCCGCATTGAGAGCAGATACCCAGTACCAACAATCATCATCCGTATGGGCATCGAGTGCCTGGGGCCTGCCCCAGGTGCTTCCCAGCCAGCCAGAGCCCCACCCAGGGCAGAGAGAAAAGCTCCAAGTTCAGCTGGTAGGCCCTGGAAGGTAGCCCTGCGGATAAAGCGCTTTTGCGAGTTTGTGACTTGAGCTGGGTCCTCAGGATGCACAGAAAGCTGGACATGGAAGCCACAACCGGAACTCAAGTGAGAGGCCCCAAGTGAGATGGGTAGTGGAGACAGCAGGACCCCAGCAGCTCTCGAGGCTGTTAGCCTGAGGTACATGGTGGCAAACAGGTCTCCATCTCAAGGGAAACAGTCTCACTCCCTCAGGATTGATTTGACGCTATCCAGGAAGGGTCTCTATCTCTTCCTGCCTCCCTGAACCTGGTCATCTTGCAAACATCTGTCCTTGTGAAATCCCATCTGCTGTCACAGAGACAGCTCCAAACGCTCTGTGTCATTCAGCCCTGGAGCGCTGGGTAAAAGATAAAGCAGGAAGCAGCAGTTATCCAAGGAGCTGGGGTGTGGACAAGCAAGAGCTAGATGTAAACAATGCCAGGTGACTTGGTCTGCTGGGTACCAGGAAAAGCCTGGCTTACCTCAGTTGCCATAGCAACAACTCTGCTCTTGGCCCTGCTGAAGCATATTTTATAACCTGAAATCCCAGCAACCCAGGAAGTGGCATATTTGGGGCCCTGCTAGGTTCGGGGCACACGACATCTATGAAATTTTGTTATCAGGGGTAGGAATCCATTTAGTGGAGCCTGTGGATAGCCCCTGTGATGGCTTATTCTCTGGGTGTGTATGTTGTGGACTGGGGCGGGGTGGGTGGGTGGGGGTACAGGACCAAGCTATATAATGAGCTCCATCAATCATCCCACCCTGTGACTCCCACGTGGAGAAAATTCCAGAGGTTCAGCTCCTGCTTTGTTACCCGCAGAGGCTACCCGTGGGTGACTGACTGACAGATGGGCCCCGAGCCAGAGGGCTGTCACCTGTATAGTATGGTTAGAGCATTGGCCAGGGCCTGTATGAAGGACCTGGACAGTGTGTGAGCCAAATGCAGTTCCAGCCTGCTTGTGCACGTGTGCGTGCATACATGGGTACACACATCTGGTTAGATATAGAGTGGTCAGGTGAGGCTGTACAAAGAGGAAGACAGGCCTACTCAATCAGGGCTGATTCCATTGTTTGTGCCACTGGTCTGGAGAGGCTATATGGAGGAGAGTGCTGGGCCCTTCCTTGCCAAGGACAGTGGTTCAGCCCTAGCCTCAGCCTGTGCCCAGGGAATGTTTGAGGCTAACCCAGGGCAGATTCTCAGCCTAGTATGTAGTGCTGGCCAGAAGACTGGCCAGGGTCCCTGTCAGACAGGGGACAGGACAGACAGACGGCAGCCAGGAGGTCCTGGCCCCGGCAGCAAGTGGGCGACAGCAAAGTCCCTGGGATATGTACGGCACAGTGTGACTTAGACTTTAGGGCCCTTTAAAACTGAAGTGATCTGAGCCAGAGCGAGGGAAGCTGGGTGAAAGAAGCCTGGGACTGTGGAAGCCCTCACTCCTGGCTGAGAGCAGAATGAGGGGAAAGGGGAGCACCCGGAGAAGTGGCTCTTTCGGGAGTGTTTGCCCAGCACGCAGGAAGCTTGGGCCTGAACCCCAGCATCAGGAGTTTGAGGCCAGCCCAGGCTACGGAGCGAGCTCCAGGCAAGCCAGGGCTACACAGCGAGATCCTGGCCCCAAAACAGCAGCAGCAAAAAAGCAACCGGAGAGGCAGCCTGGCATGGGGGCACACACCGGGAACCTTGGTGTTTGAGAGGCGGAGGAGGATAGCCTGAGCTACACAGGCTTGGTGGTGGTGGGGAAGAGTGACCCTAAGGATGACCATGAAGAAAGAAAAAAAATCAGACGGGAGACAGAAAAATACGGAAAAATCTGTACAAAGGCTAGGGGCCAGCTGGGTGACCTCCCTCCTCCCCCCTCCCAGGAGAGGGAAGGAGGGAAGAGGCTAGGCCTGCAGGAAACAGCTAAGGATTGAATCTTGTTGCAAAAAAGGAAGACCAAACCTGACTTAGCAAATAGCAAGAGCTAGAGATCTTTCCAGAAGAGTCGAGTAAGCAAAGTAGATGATAACCCAATTCCCACATCCCTTTGCACGTCCCTGTGGAAGGCCCAGAGAAATCCTAAGGATGAACAGTTTAAAGGGCCAGGAACTCTTGGCTGAGGTCTGAAGGGCGGGGCCTCTCCAGGCCTCGGGGGTAAACAGCAACGCCAAGTCTCTTCTCAGCTGGAGGGGGAGTATTTATCTCTGCACAATCGCCCAGACACCTGGCTGCTGACCGAGCCGCCCACCCGCCCGGGGTAAGGAACTGCTGGAGATTCTGAGAACCCTGGGGAGGGGACTGTTTACTCACCAAATCCCTCCCCTGTGGCACCTGCCCCGTGACTACTGAGCTCCAGCCCCAGACGGGGACCCCCACTCATCCCTGCCTCTTGCTAACAGAGGGTACACAGTTCAGCCTTTGGTTGAGGTCACATGTTTTATCAGCCCAGGCAGTGCGGATAGGAAGAGCCACGTCAAGGATCGGTCGTGTTGACTGATCTGTGTCCACTCCAGCTGGCACAAAGCAAGACGCCGAGAGCCACTTTGTTTTTCTTTCAAATGCAGTCTTTTCCAACATTGCCTCCAAACAAGCTTTGGTGCAGATATTTAGGAGCAGCGGGAGGAATGTGGAGAAAAAAAAAGAAAAGAACGAACTCCCCAGCCAATCACAGCCCTTTCATCGGAAAAGCCTAGACTCGGGGTACACGCTCCTGTGTTTGTGTGTTGTAGAGAGAATGAGGACACTTGGTTGCTCACCCCCTACCCCTTGGGCTCCAGGATTTACTACCCAGGCACAGACAGGGGTTACCCTATTCCTCAAATTCACAAGAGGATTCTAGGCAGGTGCTCTACCACTGAGCCACACCCCCAGCCCCTCACTGGGGGATTCTAGGCAGGTGTTCTACCACTGAACCACACCCCATCCCCTCACTGGGGGATTCTAGGCAGGTGCTCTACCACTGAACCATACCCCAGCCCCTCACTGGGGGATTCTAGGCAGGTGCTCTACCACTGAGCCACACCCCAGCCCCTCACTGGGGGATTCTAGGCAGGTGCTCTACCACTGAGCCACACCCCCAGCCCCTCACTGGGGGATTCTAGGCAGGTGCTCTACCACTGAGCCACACCCCAGCCCCTCACTGGGGGATTCTAGGCAGGTGCTCTACCACTCAACTATATCCTGAGCCCTCTTTTTTACTTTTTATCTTTTTAGTTGATTTTGAGACAGAGTCTCACTAAGCTGCCCAGACCAGCCTTGACTTCACTCTATAGTCCAGGCTAGCTTTGAACTTGTGATATCCTTCTATCTCAGTCCCCCAAGTTCTAGGATTACAGGCCTGCGCCAAACTCAGCTTAATCCCCCTAGTTAAAGGGTTGTCTGGGAGAGGAAGAATGGCTGGGTGTGTATTTGTTTACATATGTGTGCATATATATATATGTATATAATAGGCTATATTAGAAAATTCTCTATAAATATAAAACACTGGTATCCAAACATGACACAGTTAACTAAAGTGCTTGACAGAAGCCGGGCACATGGACTCCGTAGGTCAAACTCTGCATCCTGAGTGCCAGGATGGGGGGCAGCCTGGGAAGGGAAATGGAGGTGGAAAAGAGGGTGTGGCTGAGCCAGGAAAAAAACCAGAAGTACTGGACACCAGAAGCTTCCAGTCCTGGGGCTGTCTGCTGGCTGTCAACACCAGGCCTCATCTTTACCCTACATTCCCGGCTTGGTTTCTAGCTGGGAGGAGTGAGGCCGCTTCGGAAGGTTGGCGTGGGGCGGCTGCTCCCTCGGGGGAGGCTGCTGCTGGCCTGACTTCCCTCACCACAGGCCAGGAGGGCCGGACGGAGGGCTGTCTTCATACCGAATAATCTGACAGAAATACACAGTTGTGGGGCCCCCGGTCAGGGTGTCTTTGCTCCTTCTGGGCTTCTTCCTGGACAGGTGACAGGGAGCAGGAAGCCCCTGGGCGGCAGACCGGGAGGCCTCAGTCTGATTCATCTATAAGCCTCAAGCACCTGCCCTGTTCCCAGACCCCTAACCCTGCAAACCCGGCCCAACCCCAGCCTCAGACCCACAGAGATGCTCCACAGGCAGATGGTCAACAAAGCTCTAAGGGGACAGTGGAGCCCCCCACCCCGGGTTGGGGAGAGCTCCTTCTTCCCCCAAGGACACAGTGCTACAAGAATGGGTTTGTGGTTGGAGGTTTGGAGGTAAAGGCTGAGGCTCCAGTCTGGAAAGAAAGAACAAAAGGTTAATAGGTTGGGTGGGGGGGATTGTAGAGGCCACAGAACATAACTGCGCTTGAGGACCAGAGCAAGGGAGATGGAGGGGATGTGAAGGGAGTGGAATACAGAGGGGGCCTGGGAGCTGGGTGTGGTGATACACCCCTGTCATCCCAGCACTCAGAAAGCTGAGGCAGGAGGATCATGAGTTCTAGGCTAGCGTGAGCTACAAAGTGTGACTCAGTCTCAAAAAAAAGGGAGGGGGTGTTGGCTCTGTGGGTAAAAGCATTTGCTGTGCCAGCATGGAGACCTGAGCACGAATCTCCAGCGCCCACGAAGAAAGCTGGTGTGGTCACACGTGCACCTTCGACCCCCCGTGTTGTGGGCACGGTGACCGGAGGCGTGCTGGCCACCAGTCTAACTGTCCAGGTTCAGTGAGAGGCCCCGTCTCAAGAAGAGAAGGTGGAGAGGGACAGAAGGGCACCTTAAGTCCTCCTCTGGCCTCGGTGAGTGCATGGGTACACACATGCACTGAAGGATGGGATCTTAGTCTATCCCACATCACCATCTTCTGGAAAGACGTCTCCACTGCCACAGTGTGGTACTCACCACGAACGGGTTGGTGGAGATCCCAGACACCTGGCTCAGAGGCCTCGGCCCCAGCTTGGAGGGTCCCAAGTCACCAAAGGAAGAGCCTAGGAGGCAAGGGCAACAATTTGGCTGAGTGTGTCTGTCACCTTCCTGGAGGGAGCCACTGCTATATCCCCAGTGAAGACCAAAGGGCCCTTCCAGAATTCTCGGAAAAAGCATGGAGCCATCAGACACGGGCAGACTTATAGCTCATCTGGTCCCCCTACTGGTCAGAAAGAGTCTGTGTGTGTGTGTAGTTCAGGCAACCTTCCCCCGCCCCCCCCCTCCCCAAGTTTATCTTCCTATGGTTCAAGCAACTGTGGACTAAAAAAAAAAAAAATCTTTAAAAATATTTGGCTAGGCAGTGGTGGTGCCACGCCTTTAATACCAACACTCAGGAGGCAGGGGCAGACGATCTTTTAGTTCAAGGCCAGCCTGGTCTACAGAGTGAGTTCTAGAACAGCCAGAACTACATAGAGACCTTGTCTCAAAAAAAAAGGATGGGGATTTAGCTCAGTGGTAGAGTGCCTGCCTAGCAAGCGCAAGGCCCGGGGTTCGGTCCTCAGCTCCGGAAAATAAATAAATACATACATACATTGAAAAAAATTTTAAATTCGTATTTATGTGTGGGTGTGCATGCTTGTGCACAGTGGTTGAAAGCACACACTACTCTTTCAGGGGGTTGGGTTCCCACGTTGGGTTCCCAGCATCCACACTGCATAGCTCACAAATGACAACTCCAGCTCCAGGGTGTTTGACGCCTTTTTCTGGCCTTTGGGAGTCCCTACACACACCCACACAGAGACACACATACA